GAAGTCCAATTTCCTTTTTGGAAAAAGCCCCTTTGGGGCAACCCATATATCTACATCTACATCTACATATATATCTACACACACACACACACACACACACACACCTGCTATATACATCTATCTATCCTGATATTCTATGGCAGGGGTCTCCAACCTTGGCACTTTAAGACTCGTGGACTTCAACTCCCAGAATTCCTCAGCCAGCCAGCTCTATGGAACAAAACTGTGACTGAATGGGCTAGGAAAGGGGGAGTCAGACCAGGTCTGCTCCTGCTGGAGCTCCTGCTGGAATGCCAGGGTGCCAGGCTGGGAAGCCGCCTGGCGGGTTTTCTATTTCTGGCAGATGGGCAAGGAGGGTGCTGCCACCCTGTGGCTCCACGCCTCTCTGCACGCCCTCCGTCTCTTCCCAGCTAAGCCCCATCTCTTGCCTTCCCACGGGAGACTACAGCTGGCTGGGGAATTCTGGGAGTTGAAGTCCACCGGAGTGGCCAAGGTTGGATACCCCCCTGGCTTTGATCTTCTTCAGCCCCTCCACGGTGACCTCAACGATAGCCCACTCCACTTGAGGCCAGTGCTACGGGCACATCAAACATCTTCCTGCAGCTTGGAAGGCTGCCTGCCCGCTCTCCCTGCAGCAGGCAAAACGCACGGTTGCTCACAAGGGGGAGACACTGGTGCAGTGCGTGGTGTGCGTGCGCCCCCCCCTCCCAACGTAAAATGCAGCGTTGCGCATGAGGCAAAGCACAGTTTGCACCATTTCCCACACTCTGAAGGTACTATGGGCCTCCCAGCCCCATTCTTTAAACCTGAGGTCCTTCTCTACCCAGAGGGGGGGGGCCAGGCCGCTCCCTTCCCCTTGCTTAATAGTCTTGGAATCCTCTGGGACAAATTGGAGGGGTGGGGGGCAGTGTTCAAACGACAGAGGATTAGCCCTGATGACGTTACCTAGCTGGGTAATGAAACTTCTGCAAAAATCCAAGCAACCTAAGAGAGCACCAAGGACCCCTCCAACTAAACAGAACTTGGCTTTGGCCTGCAAATAGATAAGACTGTGCAGAATGGGGGGGAGGCTGACAGGCTGCTCCATCCCACAACAGCAGCCCCTCCCTTCCTGCCCCCAACCCCCAGTGGGCCCACAGCCAACCAGGTTCTTTGTTTTTTCAGGTATGGCATTCTGGTGGACCCCATCCAGGTCATCTCCCTGTTTCTGAAGGACCCCTATAGCTGGCCAGCTCCATGCCTTATTATTGGTGAGTCAACTTGGCTTCCTTCGGGAGGGGGAGGTGACGGTAGGTGGGTCCTTACTGCCTCCCTCTCAAGAACCCCCGAAACTTTGCTGGGGTGTGTGTGTGTGTGTCAGGTTCTGGACGCTCTGGCATGACGTGGAGAGGGCTACTAAGGGTGCGTTCCAGCAGAAGGGGCTCCCTCCCGCCCGGTTTAGTGGAGAGGGAAGCCCGAGGCCTTTGGGGGGGAGCAGGGGGCCCCTCCTTCGGGGCTGGCCTGTCTGTGACCAGCGTCCTTCTGCCTTCCTTCTCAGGGGCCAACGGCTTTGCCCTGGTGACCCTCCACGTAGAGAAGAAGCTTGCAACGGTGAGCGGGGATGATGGGTTGGGGTGCCGTCCTTCCGCTTTTATTCCCGCTGCTTCATTTATTTGCAGGTCAAGTCCTTGGGTAACTCTCTTGTCCCCGCTCGATCCGGCCGTGGGCGATTGGTTTTTATATTGTTTTATATCCGGGTTTTTGCCTTTATAAGCCGCCCGGAGTCGCTGAGGATGACCTGGGCAGCTGTGCAAATTTTCTGAAATAAAGGCAACATCCGATGTAGAGACTCCCATCTCGCTCACAGGATCAGGTCTTCTCTTCCTGGTTGTTTAAGCACAAGACTTACCAGTTAATTTAATGACCGTTCCAAGTTACAGCGGCAGCAAACAAAGCGTCCTAGGACCGGTTTTCACACTTAAGGACGGTTGCAGCCTCCTCGAGGTCACAGGATCAAAATTCAAACGCACGACCGCGGACTCCTGTGTGTCCCCCTTTTGCAGTCTCCTGACAAGCCAAGCCAATGGGGGGAGCCAGAGTCCCTTAACCACTGCAGTGGTTCACTTAACAACTGTGGAAAGAAAGGTCGTAAAATGAGTCACAACTCACTCCACGGCTGCCCCGTTTTGGATCTCGGCGGCGGTTGTAAGTGGAGGGCTGCACCTGGTGCCCTTTGCCATCCGTGGCCCTTGAGAACAAGGAGGACAAGGAGCAGGAGAGACAGTGGGGGGGTTGGTGCCTGAGGGTTATTATGGGCTGGTCTGTGGCGTCTCTGGCTTTCTCCGAGGGTGACCTTTCTTTCAGGGCTGGAGGTAAGGCAGGGGACCGGAGTGCTGCGGTGGCCTCGAGGTCGGAGCTCTGGCCTCCCAATTAGGAGGCTGTGCGCTCAATCCGAGGCAGATATTTCTCTCTCTGGCCACAATGGGAATATATATCTGCTGAGCAAGAACTCCGCATTGGTGACAGGAAGGGCATCCGGCCAGTAATCACTCAGCTGCCTTCGGTTGCCCAGGCTCCGCTCCAATGCAAGGGATTATGGGGTGGCGAAAAGAAGGTGATGTAGAGCAGGGGATACCCAGCCTTGGCAACTTTAAGAACTATGGGCTTCCGTTCCAGGAATTCCCCAACCAGCACATGGGGGATTCTGGGAGTTGAAGTCCGTAAGTCTTAAAGTCACCACGATTGGACATCCCTGATGCCCCTTTTCTGGAAGGCAGCTGCACCTGTAGGAAGGTCCTGATTGGGGAGGATAACCAGTAAGGCCTTGAACCCAATTCTGGATCGTTTCCCCCATATATGTCATCGAGAGAGTTACCATTTCCTGGTGGGGGTCTGGACTGTGCTGGAGCCTTTTTTTTGGGGGGGAGGGGTCCTCTGATTAAATGCCCTTTCCTTTGCGCTCCAGGGCTCCTTATCGGAGCAAAGCGGGACGGTCCTGCACACTTTCAACCTCCTGATGGTGTTATGCTTCCCTGCCCTGGTGGTGCTGGCTGTCACCTCCGTCACTCCAGGTGGGTGCTCTCCTGCGGTGGGGGTCTCGCAAGGCAGGCTGCCTCGTGGGAATGGCCTGGCTGGGAGGGGGTCTTGGGGCATATTGAGAGTTTTGCAGGGATAATTCAGCACCGGAAAATTAAAACACAGATGGCTGATGCTTCATTTAACATCTTTATAAACATAATAAGTAGATTTTACAAACCAGTTGTAGATTCCGTCAACCTAGAGCAAACTCAAACAGAAACATATTGCACGTTCAGAGCAGAGTTCCAGTCTTCAGCAAGCAAGCAAGTTAGTTTCATCTTCAACAGACAGACTTGGAGCTCAACGTGGCTGCAGAGTTGCAGAGCTTAACATAGAACCAAGCCTAGGCTGCTTCTAGTTTCAGTTTCCAAACAGCCCTCCTTGGCTGACTTAGTTGCTCTGCCTATTTATTGGCTGACCTTGTTACCAAGCTCCATCCCAGTTCCTGAATAGGCTCTGACAGGGCAACCTGGTGCTTGGGCTGCCTTCCCGGCCTGTCCTGCTCCCGTCAGCTGTTCATGGACGGGGCTGCGTCTTCCCCAGTTTCCTGCCAGCATGGTCAGACTTAACAGCATAACAGAGCTGGAAGGGACCTTCGAGGTCATCTAGTCCAACCCCCCTGCTCAAGCAGGAGCCCTAATATCTTTTCGGTCTCCTTAAAACCCTCCAGGGATGGACCCACCCACAACCTCTCGAGGGAAGCAGTTCCACGGATTGATTGTTGTAACTACCAGGAAAGTCCTTCTTAGTCCTGAGTTGCATCTCTCCTTGAGGGGTTTCCATCCGTTGTTTCTTGTCCTGCCTTCGGGGGCTTTGGAGAACTAATTGATATGCTGTTCCACTGGTCGATTGTTCTCACTGTCGGGAAATTCTTCCTTATTTCTAGACTGAATCTCTTCTGGATCAGTTTCCATCCATTACTCCTTGTCTGGCCTTCGGGTGCTTTGGAAAATAGCTTGGCCCCTTCCCTCCTCCTCTCTGGGGCAGCCCCTCAGATCTTGGAAGGCTGCTCTCCTGTCTCCCCTGGTCCTTCTTTTCCTTAAACTAGACATGTCTTCTGTCCATCCATGGTTTGCTCAGATCTTTCTTTCTTCTTTCTTTCTTTCTTTCTTTCTTTCTTTCTTTCTTTCTTTCTTTCTTTCTTTCTTTCTTTCTTTCTTTCTTTCTTTCTTTCTTTCTTCTCTTTCTTCTCTTTCTTCTCTTTCTTCCTTCCTTCTTTCTTTCTCTCTCTTTCTCTCCCTCCCTCTCTCTCTCTCTTTCTTTCTTTTGCTTTGGAGAGTAGCTTGGCCCCTTCCCTCCTCTCTGGGGCAGCCCCTCAGATCTTGGAAGGCTGCTCTCCTGTCTCCCCTGGCCCTTCTCTTCCCTAGACCAGCCATCAGCAAATGTTGAGTAGTTCGGAGAACTGGCAAATACCTTTGACTGGAGATTTTACAGTCTCCTTCCCCTGCCACGCCCACCAAGCCACGCCCATAGAACAGGTAATAAGAAAATTTGAATCCCACCCCTAGACTAGCCAGGCCCATTTCTTGCGATCGATCGTTCTTTGTAGGTTTTAGCCTCCAGCCCGCTAATTGTCTTTATTGCTCTTCTCTGCACTCTTTCTAGAGTCTCCACATTTACATCGTGCCAACCAAAACCTGGATTCAGTATTCCAAGTGTGGCCTCACCAAGGCCTTAGAAAAGTGGTATTAACACTTCGCACGATCTTGATCCTCCGTGGATGCAGCCTAGAACTGGGCTGGCGTTTTTTTGGCAGTTGCTGCACACGGCTGGCTCCTCTTTAAGGGATTCTCTACTGGGACCCCCAAGGTCCCTCTCACTCTTACTGCTGTTGAGCCGGGTTCTACCTCTATACCGTACCTGTGGATTTGGTTTTTCTTGCCTAAATGGAGAGCCCCTTTTTTTTTTCACCCTTGGCTTTCCTTTCGTTAGACAGGGCCCAATGATGAAGTCTGTTGAGACCCTTCTGTATCACTTAAGCCCACCTTCGGGAGGGTTGCTTAGTCCTGCCAGCTTGGGGTCATCTGAACGTTGTTTTTTTTTGTAAATTTTATTGGATTTTAAAAACAAACAGACAAACAAAACATAAAAACATCAAACTTTCTTCCACAGGTATACAAACAGTGTGCCGGTTGGTTTACAAATCATTTTGTGCATCCATTTTGTACTTTTCAGTTACAATTACATAAAAGCTCATATTATCAATCAAAAATTAAATACCCTAATATTATTAATCAATCATTTGACTATAATTTTGTTCATTCATATTTTACGAGATAACCACAATTTACTTAGTTTATTTTATAACAATTCATATAATCCTCCCAAATCTATCCTAAAAACATTTTGTAGATATAATAAAAAAGAAATACATCTTTATATATTTATTATTTTCTAAAAATCTACATATTTCATTACTGTATTTTATTATCTAACCATTGATAGAAAAGATCCCAAATTTTATAAAATTGTTTATCCTCTTGTTCTCTAATTTCAAATGTCAATCTACTCATTTCAGCACATTCCAATATTTTCTGGGGTCATCTGAACGTTTGATGAGTTCTTGTTGACAGAGGTCTTGGGAAGGTTAGGAGGGCCTCCATAGACACCAGGCAACACGCGGGAAAGCTGCTTTTGTATGCTCTGACCGCGGCCCGTCTGGTCTTTGGGCTATTTCATGGTTGAGGAGAGAGGGAAGAATCTGTGGGCCTCTTCCTTTCAACCTTTTAGAGCAGAGGTCTCCAAACTGGGCCGCTTGAAGACTTGTGGACTTCAACTCCCAGAATTCCTCCTCCTCCAGTCATGTTAGCTCAGGAATTCTGGGAGTCGAAGTCCACAAGTCTTCAAGCTGCCCAGTTTGAAGACCCTTGGAATATAGAAAGAGTAGAACAGAATAAACAGAGCTGGAAGGGATCTTGGAGGTCTTCTAGTCCAACCCCTGCTCAAGAAGAAGACCCTATACGAGGTGTGTCCAACCGTGGCCACTTTAAGACTTGTGGACTTCCACTCCCAGGATTCCTCCTCCAGTCATGTTACCTGAGGAATTCTGGGGGTTGAAGTCCACAAGTCTTAAAGCTGCCAAGTTTGGGGACCCCTATTCTAGAAATCCCAAGTTCAGACAACTTCGCCCCATCCTTCCTTCTGAGCTGAGACTCGGCCATGAATTCTTTGGGGCTACCCCACCCGAGAGACCACGTGATCCGGGGAAGCCTCTGACCTTCTCTTTCCCACCTTCCTCCACAGCCGGGGCCATCTTTGCCCTCTCGGTCCACACCGTCCTCTTCCTCAAGCTCTTCTCCTTCAGGGACGTCAACAAGTGGTGTCGCGAGAAGAAGTCTGCAAAAGCCGCCCGAGGACCCCCAGGTGAGTGTCGAGGGGCCTCCTGTGATCTGGGCTCCTCTGGAGTCCCCCTGGTGGTGATGGCACCCAGGTGGGAGGAAGGGACGCTGTGAGGGGAAGGAGAGAGGAGGAGGCCCTTGGACCCTTCTGAACTCGACGCAAGCTGAGGAATGGCCTGGTCCTGGCTGAGGGCCAAGGAACACCTGGTTGCAGGTCCAGCCACTGATGACTTCAGGGGATGAGTCAGGGGCCTTTGGGCAGGAGATGGTCTTGTAGAGCAGGGGTCTTCGAACTTGGCAGCTTGAAGACGTGTGGGCTTCAACTCCCAGAATTCCTCCTCCTCCAGTCATGTTAGCTCAGGAATTCTGGGAGTTGAAGTCCACACGTCTTAAAGCTGCCCAGTTTGAAGACCCTTGGAATATAGAAAGAGTAGAACAGAATAAACAGCTGGAAGGGATCTTGGAGGTCTTCTAGTCCAACCCCTGCTCAAGAAGAAGACCCTATACGAGGTGTGTCCAACCATGGCCACTTTAAGACTTGTGGACTCTCAGAAGCCCTCCACCAGTCATGTTAGCTCAGGAATTCTGGGAGTTGAAGCCCACAAGTCTTAAACTTGCCAAGTTTGAAGACGCTTGGTTTATCTCTAAGGCAGGGGTCTCCAACCTTGGCCACTTTAAGGCTTGTGGACTTCAACTCCCAGAATTCCTGAGCTAACATGACTGGAGGAGGAGGAATTCTGGGAGTTGAAGTCCTCCAGCCTTAAAGTGGCCAAGTTTGGGGACCTCTGTTGTAGAGGAAGCTCAACCTTTTCCTGTATTGGCGCTTGGGGTGGCCGCCTTCCAGGGACCGTCCTCCAGGCTGCTCTTGAGCCAACCTCTCCCGGTCTGGCTGATGGGGAGCCTGCAGATGCTGCCCTGGGACGCCAGCAGACGGGCCGAGATGGAAGCTTCTCCATACTCCTTCCGGGGCTCCTGCTCGGCTCTTTTCCTGCCTGACTCAAGCCACTTCCTGCTCCAGTGGCAGGTTCTGCATCCAAAGGGAAGAGCTTCAGAGGTGGAATATTCAGCCGGTTCGGACCAGTTCTGGTGGACCGGCAGTGGGAATTTTGACTGGTTCAGAGAACCGGCAAATGCTCGGGCAGCTCCCCAGCTTTGAACGAGGCTGGCGGTTGAGCCCTGCGTGTGCATGCAAAGCGCACAGAAGCGCATAGGAAAAAAACGTGGGCACCTACCTCTGAAGAGCTTCCTTGGGACCCCCTGGAGCTCCCTCGAGAGACGGTGGCCCAGGGAGGGGGGTCTCTGTCTGGATCAGGCTGGCCCCTGGTCGTGAGCCCCACCGTCTCTTTCTGTTCCAGCTTCGAGGCCACAGAAGGCCAACGGGAACGCGGTTCCACAAGAGGTGACCTATCCAGACAACCTGAGTTACAAAGGTGAGGAACCCAGGGGGTCTCGTGGGGTGAGCGGAAGACTCTGGTCTCTGCTGGAAGTGTTTTGTCCTCCCAAGGTCACCCACCTTGTCAAGTTAACAAGTAAAGACACCCCCACCCCCGGACCATTCTTCTGACCAAGAGTACATCTCCAGTCCATCTGAATAACAGAGTTGGGAGGGAGCTTGGAGGCCTTCTAGTCCAGCCCCGGCTCAAGCAGGAGACCCTATGTGCCATTTCAGACAAGTTCAATCTCTTCCTGAAAGACCTCCAGGGATGGAGCACCCACAAGTTCTGGTGGCAACTTCTGTTCCACTGATTAATGGATATGGGATTACAGAAGAACAGAGTCAAAGGGACCTTAGAGGTCTTCTAGTCCAACCCCCTGCTCAGGCGGGAAACCCTATGTACCATTTCAGACTATGGCTGTCAAGTCTCTTCTTGAAAACTTCCAGTGTTGGAGCATTCATAACCACTGGTGGCAAGCTGTTCCACTGGTTAATTGTTCTCACTGTGAGGAAATTTCTCCTTAGTTCTAGGTTGCTTCCCTCCTTGATGAATTTCCATCTGTTGCTCCTTGTCCTGCCTTCAGGGGCTTTGGAGAATAATTTACAATATTTGTCCCAACTATTTACAAAGTCTGCACCACTATTAACCATTAATCTTCTCATCACTTTTTATGTCCATCCCCTCCCGCTTGTGACTGTGTATGACTGTAACTTTGTCGCTTGCATCCTAAAGATTTATATCGACTGTTTCCTAGTATGATTTAATCGCTTATTGTACCATATGACTATTATTAAGTGTGGTACTTAATATGATTCTGGACTCTCTTGATGAATGTATCTTTTCTTTTATGTACACCGAGAGCATTTGCACCAAGACAGATTCCTTGGGTGTCCAATCACACTCGGCCAATCAAGAATTCAATTAATTTCTATTCCATTCCATTCCATTCCTTTCTATTTCTATTTCTTCTATTTCTATTCTATTCTTTTTCTATCTATCTATCTATCTATCTATCTATCTATCTATCTATCTATCTATCTATCATCTATCTGATTGCTTATTGTGCCCTATGACTATTATTAAGTGTTGCACTTGATGATTCTTGACCCTTGATGAATATATCTTTCCTTTTATGTACACTGACAGCATTTGCACCAAGACAAATTCCTTGTGTGTCCAATCACACTCGGTCAATAAAGAATTCTATTCTATTCTAGCCTATTCTATATTCCATTCCATTCCATTCTATTCTATTCTATTCTATTCTATTCTAT